AACATGTTTCTGATCTTGTTCGGATTCAGCTTTTTGAAAACAGCAGAGGAAGTTAAAAAGGAATCTGTTCCACAAGGTCAGCAAGGCTGAAGGATGATGCTTAAAGGAGCCCTTTGTGAAAAGACAGATCTGATAGATGCTAAAATGCTGCAGTTATCAGTAGAATCAGTTAGAAAAGTTGGYTTTGCATGAAATTTTAGGGGACTGAACAAATGAGATTCTTTCATCTCAGTGACTAATTAAAAACAGTAATATTACTTTGTTTCTTTACATTGTTCTTGAATGCCCAAAGAGGTGCATTTTTGCTTTTTCACTGGATCCATTCTTAAAGAGTTATATGAATGCATAGACATAAAAACTCAAGAACTTTATATATTGTCATGCAAGAAGCTGATTGTCTTAAGATTTAGTCTTTTAAATGCTAGAAAACTGAAAAATGACACATTTTTCACTTTCCAACTATGTCCAGAAGGTACTGTCAGGATATTCTAATGCATCATGAAAGTTGGAGCTTTGGTAACAATTTCCAACTTTATAAACTTGTTTTGATTTATGAAGGAACACATTTGGCTGAATTGAAACATTATGATTTGACAAAATGTGCATATATGATTGTGATTGTTTCGTCATTTTATACTAGAATGTAAAGTTTTAAAGAATTTGAGAAGCAGAATACTTTTTTTTAAAGTACTTGTTAACGTTTTTCTTACTGTTTTCTTCTAAATTTACATTTGCTTTCTAGAAGTAGTTTCACTTTCGGTGGAAATATTTAAGGATTTTGGAGATTTTTKTATAAACAAACTCCCCTTCTAGATTAATTATCTTCGTGTTCATTCATTTATCTTTTTCCTGGAATAAAACCTAATTCATAGATTCCCCTCATTATGCATTGTACATCCCCAAAGCATGGTAATTGTACCTTTATAGCCAAAGCAATATAGTCCTCTATCAGTGAGTTGAGCATGGAAGTCTATTCCTACACATGGAAATGTACAGTGCTATGCACAATCACAGTCCTTTGACTGCATCAACACAGTTTGTTTTCATTTTATTCTCTTCCTGGAACGGGCTCTTTGAAATGAAAAGCTCCCTACATGCCAAACATAAGTAAGATAGGTGATGTTTCTCACATGACTCTTCAATCATTAAAAGTTGTCTGTTTTATCAAATCTTGCCTTTCCATTCCCCTCTGCCGTAAACTCTATAAATAGTCAGTAAAAAGTCATAAACAGTTCTCTGGAGGTATCTCTTTCCCCATTAAGAATCTTAGACTAGGTGCTTATATTTGCAGTCAGAAAATATCTAGTGTGAAACATCACAGGGAAATTTTGTTCTCTTTAATCACTGCTGTCAAATTTCAAAAATACCTGCTGTTGAACTTCTCAGGGAAAGCTCTGTGAAATCAATGTTGAGCACCCTGCTGATGGCAGCAGCCTTTGCAACACTCTTTGTCACGGTGCTCTTTTGTAAGAGGCTCATTATCATCATTTATAACATTTGTGGTTTTGTCTTAGTCAATAAAGGAAACAAATCTATTTTAATGTATTTTCAGTCAATACATAAGTCTTTTGTTTTAACAGCCTCAAGAAAAAAAAATGTACTCATTTATTCTGTTTAAATGGTTGTATAAAACAAGGACAAGGTGGTTTTAAGAAGGTATTTATGGACTCTACACTGACTTTTCTACTCATCAGTCAGTCGCACTGTGATCAATTGGAGAGCAAATTCTTCCATTTCCACTAATAGTAGGATAAAATCCTGTCCTATAAATTTCTATATTATCTCTTGTAGGTAAACTAATAAAAATGTTCTCTGACCCTTTTCTATACAACATTTATGATCCAGTGACTTAAATATTTAATTCTTCCAAGCATGCAATATAATATGCAAGAACTTGACCTAGACTGCATCCAATCGCTTTAATGGGTTCAAATCCCAGATGTTCAAGGTTGGCTCTGCATTTATAGAAGAGAGATGCAACAAGACATTTTGTTCCTGCACACAGGTTAGCCAACTGCATGCACTGACAAGATTAATGGCAGACCTCTGAACCCGATATGTTTTCTTAATATCCAGCATCCAGCATTTTCCTCATTCAGGCTGAAATATGAGTGTTGCTCTTGCATAATTCAGCAACTTTCTTCTCTGTGGGTGGCACTGTTTTTAGTAGTTGTAAATGCCTGAAAATTACTAAAGTGAGTGATATGAATCAYAGCAGTTTGTTTGGAGTTATTTCAGTGATTATGGAATGAAAGAAAATAAGATTCTTTCCAAAATGTCAGAATATTGGAGAGGAAATAACAGTCACATAATTTACCATGTAGTACAAATCAGTTTTTCTGTTTTTCTATTTTTTTACATTCTCTATATTCTGTGGGTGATAGCACAACACATAGATTACAGGGCCAGGATTTACTAGGGCTGTCCAAATTCAGTTTTCATCTTGYTACTTATAGCATTCATCATCTTATACTAAAATGTAAAGTTTTTAAGAATTTGAGAAGCAGAATATTTTTTTAATGTTTTTGTTAACATTTTTCTTTCTACTTTCTTCTAAATTCCCTTTTGCTTTCTAGAAGAAGTTTAGCTCTGCAAATTGACATACTTTTTTTCCCCTTCTTTTTTCAAAATTTAATTTGAAATGAATGTTAACTCAGTCTCTACTTTTACAAAAGTACACATATTTAGTAGATGAACATTACGTAGCTTATGAAAATGCAAAAGTAAATAGGCATAACTGGAAGTATCYCAGAACTGGAATGGTGGGGGAAAAAAAATTAAAAAAGAAAAATAACTACAGGAAATGTACCTGCCTTTATTAGTCTCTGAAATAGGAAATAATTCAAATATCTGTAAGTTATTAGGCCCAGGTTTATCCTCTGTAACTGCAAGTGTTGTAAGTAAGAAACAAAGTAAGAACATAGCTGCCCTAGGGCATCTATATAGTTAAAACTAATAAAACTGAAAGGCTGATGCCCCTAGGAAGCCAATCGGACAACCTATGATCTAAATCACTTTCCCGGAGGAAATTAAAAAAAAAAAAAAAAAAAAAAAAAAAGAATGTGAGGGAGGAAACATATCTTTTACTTGAGGAAAATTATTTAGGAATTCCTGGATTTGGTGTTTTGTGAGCCCCAGGGTAATCATGATCCAACTCTCAGAGGCTAGAAGGATTCTCTCCCAGTATTTTGGATGCTCTGCTCTCTGCCTTAGCACTTACCCTCGTTTTTCTCTCCATCTTGTCAGGCAGCATAGCTCATTTTCTTGAAAAGTCAGATATATATGCTGTGGAATAATTTGGACAATATTTTGTTTTGCCTGCATAGCTCAAAACAAGCAGATAACTCAAGAAAATTGTGGAGAAGTGTGCCACTTTAAAACAATTATAATTTTAAAAGCAACTGAGACTGAAAGAATTTTGAAGACCTACTTTGAGCAGACATTTGGACTAGATGGTCTCCAGAGGTCCTTCCAAATGAAAATACTACTTTATTTTGTAATTTTATTGGATTTTGAATTTTTTATTTTGAAATTCTTCATCCTTGTCCCAGAGTAGACATTWAGACAATACAAGCAGCAAACATTCGAACACCTACCTACTCATCATTCAACAAAGTATTAAGAGAAGGAGTCTGTCTCCCAGGATTGCCCTCAATACCCAAAAAGAAGAAATTTGCTTACTGTCATCAGGAGCATAGAGTTCTCACCGCCTCTTAATCACAGGGCTCTGAACTGTAATTAGAGTGACCTATGTTTGGGGATCAACAGAATGTTAAAACTTCATTTTTAAAGATGGTTGTAAATTATCTGAAAAACTAATTACCTACTGAGGAAAATCCATTTCTGCTAAAACAAGTTCCTCTATTAAAATATGCTAACTCTACTAAAACTCTTCTGCTTAAGGGTTTTCTCTGTCCACAATTGAATTTCCATATAGGTGGATAAAAGATAGACAAATGAACTACTGAATTTCAGCCCAGAATAGCTACTTAGCTTGCTATTGGAGCACTTAAATATCAAAGCCCAAGGCTGAAGTTTCAGATTTGCATTAAAAGTAACAGAATTTGATTCTCCCTTAACATTGCAGAAATCTATTCCCTTTTCTTTTCTTTTCTTTTCTTTTCTTTTCTTTTCTTTTCTTTTCTTT